GTAATGGTATGAACCGAGCTGCAGCCTCGTTAATGTCTTGCGCAGCAACAGCAAAAAGAACACGAACGTCACGCTGACCGCTGCGACCGTTGCTCTTCACGACGTGGCACAAATCTGGAGGTCCGAGTTCCCGAAATGTAGCTGAAGAAATCGTGAGCTAACATAATCCCAGTAATACAGAAATTACTGACACAATACCTCCGTTCTAGCGGTGAGCGCTTCACCGAGTTCCACCTGGTTAAATGGTCTTTTTCAGCGAAAATAAGGATTAAAATCCATATAACTGACCTCAAAGAGCTCTGGAATGTCCTTGAACGCGGCTTCCGCCATACAGATCTGCGAGTTCAGCGATTTAGGGAGGGGGGGGGGAGAGGCACGTGATATGAGCTTGGTTCTGTTTGGGAGGGGTGACGGTCCGGTCACATGCCAAATCGATAGATACTGTAGATAGAATCAGAACTAAGATGCGGACGCAGTATTGATTTTTTTTGGAGGCATCGCTGCGAGTCGGCCAGAGGTCGCCGCGGAAACATGAAAAATCAAGGAGCTCTTAATTGCACTCAAGCCTGCTGACATCAAGTTTCAGATCTTCTTTTCGTGCGTGATAAAAATGCTGCAAATGATAATCAACTGCGCAATTTCCTCATCTTCTCATAAACGGAATGGTGACTAATTCCTTCTACGAACTTTTACGCCGGTGTATGACCTGACGTGGCGCCAGCCGTCGGTCTCGAACTCGCGCTCCATGATCGTCCCTCAGCCAATGATTTCTATCAGGGAAGAGTGCGATTGTCCGCAGGCTTCCAAAGGTTTCCGATTGTCTGTAGCTTTCCGTAATCGTGTAAGGTAGAAAACGCACGGAAGCGGGGTTCGAGAGACTTGATAACGCTTGGATATCTGATTTTTCAAATTGCGGTCAAGATAGAATCAATCATCCATCATGGTATCTGTCTCCATGTGGAAAACCTAAATGGTTAAAATCCTTACTGTGTTACGATCTCGGGACTGTTCGCCTGAATCATTATCAATTCGATAACGGCACGGCACGCTGACAAGATCATTGCGCGGCCCTTCACTAGTAGGAGTCAGTAAGCTGTTCGGAGTCTCACCTAGTCTCACTGGATATTGAAGCTCAACAGGTCCGACTAGGCTCAAGGCCAGTACTTTCACACACTAGACGAGGATCCAAGAGTCCCAAGACCTACTTAGTTTGAAGTGACTGGACTCGGGTTACAGTTCCTGACCTAGTCGAGCACCGATGGGCCTGGTACAGCCTGGTACTCAAGGGCATGCAAATATGTCTCGTCCTTGGCGCAAGGACGAACTGACCGAGAAGCGAGATCACAAGGAGAACTGCTGCGACTCAACCAAGACTCAATGCCGACGTTCCCTTCTGACATGTACCTGAACGGATTTAAAAAGGGATATCAGTACTATTATCGATACATCTCTTGCCCCGTAAAGATTATAGGCTGGGACTCTACTTTACCAAACCAATGACGCACGCGCAGATCTGGGAGAGAAGCCTCTCCTGTGGAGCGGGACTCATAGTATTCATGCTGTACCAGGTCTCGATCATATCGTGGCTTCAAAAGGGTCCTTAACTCCACAACGGCGCGACATTTTCCCTCTTTGTCCTTGCTAGAAGTATGGATGCATTATCCCGGACCCAGGTAGATATCTCACCAACGAATCATAGCCTCCTGAGATTCCCGGCCAATCAGACGCAAAGTACGCAGCTCCAGTGTGAACTAGTTGTACAGAAGCCGTCAGGACGGACTTTGTACGACCATCTCGCACAAAGTAAAATTGTGCCCAGTGAGAAAAACCTTTTCTACAGCCTTGAAATCAATTCCTGAATTCACGGGCTCGTCTCAGTCTTCGTATGCATCACGGACCGGCGGCGTTTATTCAGTTCCCAACAGTTTGTATTAATTCAATGGGATAAAAAAGAGAGCAGTTTCAACGGAGAGCGAGACGTCGCGCGAAAGGCAATATCCGGGGCAGCTCATCGCATCTGGTCAGCAAAATAGCCTCATCAAACTGTGACTGATCGGAATTCAACTCGGCCCTGGTCTCTTCAGCGTCACCAGAATTTTTATAAATATCGCAGCCTGAACTGATTTTATTTCTCCACCAATCCATCCCAAGATGCCTGGTCCCTATTCCCTTTCCCTCACACTCGTTGCTTCTGTGCTCGTGTCTCAGGTCGCTGCAGCTATCGGTCCTACCGCCGACTTGCCCGTCGTCAACTTGCCCATTGCCCCCGATGGTTTTAATCGAAGCGCTGTCCTAGCTGGAGGAACCTTCCCTGGGCCTTTGATCACTGCCAACAAGGTGCATATATCCATAGATATCTGTGGCGCAACACGCGTTTCTGACCTTTCAACACAGGGTGAAGACTTCAATCTCAATGTTATCAACCAACTCCAAGACGTATCTATGCTCAAAAGTACATCCATACACTGGCACGGTTTCTTCCAAGCTGGGACAAACTGGGCCGACGGGTACGTGTTTCAGGTTTCCACAGCGCCAGCGCCAAGTTAACTAAGGGTCTTAGTCCTTCTTTCATTAATCAGGTGTGTGATGATTCTTCGAAAATGTCGTTTCATGCCTAAAATCCCTTTCCAGTGCCCCATCGCTACTGGAGACAGCTTCTTGTACAGTTTCCATACTGGAACACAGGCTGGAACGTTCTGGGTGCGTTATGTATTCCTCGTCTCGGATGATATCTAATGCAAAACAGTATCATTCTCATTTATGTTAGTGAGAAATCATTGCAAATAAAATCATGCGCTAACGTACCATAGCCACTCAATACTGCGACGGACTCCGCGGAGCCATGGTCGTCTATGATCCCAATGATCCCCATGCTGATCTGTATGACATCGACAACGGTGAGTGCCGTGAATTCCAAAGTCTTATTTGATTCTTATCGTCTTCTAGAAAGCACTGTGATAACTTTGGCCGACTGGTATCGTGAGTCAAGCGGGTAGAATGATGCGAACATTTCCTGAAACATCGAACAGACACGGTCGCCCCTGCGGCGGGTGCGGTTCCAACTGCTGATGCGACTCTGATCAACGGGCTCGGTGGGTCGTTTCATCGTACCAACTCGCTGACGACTAATAATAGCGCAGGACGATACAATGGTGGACCCACAACGGCACTGGCTGTGATCACCGTCACTCAAGGAAAACGGTACGAAGTCAAGTATAGATTTATTCAGATACAATTCTAACTCGTCTTTCAAGATATCGGTTCCGTCTTGTTGCGATATCGTGTGATCCCAACTACGTATTCGCTATTGATGGCCACAATATGACGGTCAGAAGGCCCTCTTCAGAGTTTTATTCGATTTAAACCTTCATCTAGATCATCGAAGCTGACTCAATCAGCACGACCCCATACACCGTTGATTCTCTGCAGATATATGCAGGTCAACGATACTCCTTTGTGGTAGGTCTTCCAGCTTTGTTCTGGAATCACAATTCACGGTTGTGGTACTAGCTGAGCGCAGCACAAGCAGTGGACAACTACTGTGCGTATTTTCTCTCTCGTCCACTCGTTTGTCGCTCATGTTTCTGTTCAGGGATCCGCGCAGATCCTAATAATGCAAACACTGGCTTCATCAATGGCATGAATTCAGCCATTCTGCGATACGTCGGTGCCCCCATTGCAGACCCGACTACTATCCAATCTGTTTCTCTTACTCCGATGCTTGAGACAAGTCTCTCACCGCTCGAGAACCCTGGAGCAGTACGTGGCTTTTCTACTTTGAAAGACTCACATCATTAATGAAATCGTAAGCCTGGTTCACCTACTATCGATGGCGTCGACATTGATCTGGCTCTGAACCTGAACTTTGACTTTGTAAGTACTATTGGTTTTCATCTCGGATTCTTCACTCATACGCCACACTAGACGACATTCAAGTTTACTGTTAATGGCGTAACTTTTGTTCCCCCAACAGTTCGTACACTCATTTGAGTCATCCTTCGCGGTTTACTGATTGAAAATTCCAGGTCCCTGTGCTATTACAGATTCTTAGTGGAGCCACCGATGCTAGTAAGTGTTCCCTTTGATCCGTCGATCGTATCTGATCATAGTTTAGCCTCTCTTCTTCCCTCGGGCTCGGTTTATACTCTTCCGCTGAACAAGACCATCCAACTTTCATTCAACATCGGTGGAGCGGTAGGCGGACCCGTACGTTTCAGTTCTCCGTGATTGAAAGGTACATATTGACGACCAATTAGCATCCTTTCCATTTGCATGGAGTACGTACCAGATCCTTTTACCACATTGCGCCACTTATACCTTCATCAGCATGCCTTCGATGTCATTCGCAGCGCCGGTTCAGATGTCTACAACTATGAGAACCCAGTGAGACGTGATGTTGTGGCTACGGGTACAGCGGCCGACAATGTCACTATCCGTTTCAGGACGGATAATTCAGGACCGTGGTTCCTGCATTGGTCAGTCCTGCCCGTATTCAAGTCTTGTTTTTGAAACTCACCGGCTTATCCAGCCACATCGACTGGCATCTTGAACTGTGAGTCTATTGCTTCTCTGTGTGATATTCCATGCTGAGTTTTGGATTATAGCGGACTTGCTATTGTCTTCGCAGAAGATGCACCCGGAACAGCGTCAAAGATTGTTCCTCCAGGTGAGATCTACTCTTTCCTTGGTATTTGGAAAAGCTCACCTGTTATATAGATGCATGGAATGACCTCTGCCCCAAGTATGCTACCCTAAATTCGACCGACCTCGGTGGTATAGTTTAGAGGACTGTGGCAAGGTATACATATATTTCTTTTGGGATTTTGGAGCTCTACTCGCATAGATAAATACCTATCGCAAACTATCGTGCCAATATTTAATATTCAAGTAACTTATTCTGAACGTGAGTGGACGGACGTCACAATAGAAAGAACAAGAGATTTGCGAATGAAAATGAACATGAGATGAACATCAATTAGTTTCAAAATGTTGAGCAAAAATGGCCCGTAAGGGGGTCGAACCCTTGACCTTGGCGTATTAGACGATTTTGGCTTGTTATATTAGCACCACGCTCTAACCAACTGAGCTAACCGGCCATAACAACTTCTCTTTCGCAGAAGCTAACAGGGCCATGTGGTAGTTAGTGATATCAGATTCACCGTTTGCGACATTGATTTCAGAAAGCCACAAGCCGAGCCTTTGGGACTCAACCAAAACCTCGAGATTTAATACTGAGCGCTGAGCTCATGCGAGGCAACGGTCCGAACATGGTAAGCTGAGTGCAGTCGAAGAAGTGAACTGCCGGAGGCTGCTGAGATGAGAGAGAATTATAATGCCGAAAGGTGCTCGAAGGTCTATCCCGTCTAGAGTGATCTTCCTCGCAAAGTTTGGAACACACATATAAAGACAAGTGGAATGGATAGCCACTCGTTGATGGCGGTACGAGTCCATAAGGGCTCTGGCTGTGTATTTGCGATTTTAACAGTTGAAATGCCTGCAATACAACGTCACTCAACCAGCTCAATTTGGATGTGGCTGAGATTGAGAGGTTTCAAAATCAATTCAAGATCAAAAAAACTGATCTGACAATGACTTCATCAGCAATGCTCATTATACTTCTCAGCTGGTGAACCACAGCTCGGCCCCGGCTGCAAAACAAGTTGTTGTTATCAAGCTCGAAGCTCACCCCATCCGATGTGGTCAAACAATTGATCCAAAAGGGCATCTCCTACTTCTTCATTACTGAGATCGCAAACAATACGGCGCACGAACATATTCCGAGCGATTGGAATCAGTTCTGCAGAAATGTTTCGTCTACTGCGCTACCCCATCTCTCTCGTGAGCCCTTTGATTCATGATCGCGTCTAACGGACACCGTCAGTATCTCTGTTTTCCATCAGAGGCCCAGCGCTGACATTCATGCAGTTCATCATCACATTGGAAAACTTGGTCCGTCGTAGCTGGTACGGTAAGAGCTCTGGTGGTCATCATAGCCTTAGTCTCTTGCTGTATTTTTCTCCAATGTAGACAGCGCCAAATATGAAAAGCGCAGATCTTACAGCCGGAACCGTTCAAGGACGAGTCATCCATTCCTTCATACCGGGGAGGTACGCGGAGGAGAGGGTAGTGATGTGTGTGTTATATACTTCTCGGCAGAGATGGCGTTTTTCGGCATGCGACTTGCCGAGGAATGCCGACGCATATGCTGGAGGCGGAGTTGCGGTGCGCAGGAATCTTTACACTCCTGCCACGACTATGAAAGCAAACATGTGCTGTGTTAAGCTGATAAATGGTGGCGCAAATACAAGACATTGTAGAAACAATTACACCATGTTCATCTCGTCAAACCAGGCAAGGTCACAAAAGTCTCATCCGAACGATAAGGCAAGCTCTCGATGCTCGAAACATCTCTGCTGCTCGTCTGCCTCGTCGTTTTCCTCGCCGACTTTGACCCAGCCAGTGTCGTCAATTGCTCCTGGACAGGTATGACCAACTGCCTCTGACGTTTCCTCTCACGCCGTCTCATGCAGAACCATCGAATCGTCAACACCGCGATTAAAAAGGCAGCACATCCACCGAGAGCAGCAGCGAGCCCAATGACGGTGCCATTCGACGAAGATGGTTGTTTGAATGAAGGATTCTGGTCCGTTAAACATGCTGAATCTGTCCCAGTAGCCACTGAAAACAACGAGGATATCGCATTCGTTTGCCCAATGATTGCCCTGACGCGATATGAACCGGGGGCAATACGTATTGGTGACCAAAGGAAGCTATCATCATCGGCGTCGACGGTGATGAGAGTTTGTAAGGAAACTTCGTTGAGCTCGTCGGTCACCATGAGCATCATGGATATATTCGCTGGACCAGTATATGTCCAGTCGACCCGGGTCGAGCCACAGGTCACAAGACCATCGGGAATGGCAGAGAAGACCACTGGAGAAGATTCTTCTGAATAATAGTCAGCTATCTCGCAGATCCAGGTAGGACCGCGCATCACCTCTGGTACCGATAGTCGCAGCCTGAGCCTGCAGCGATAAAACGAGAATACAGATCGCCGGGAGCTATGGGTTTATGAGACGAAGAAGCATTCCAGACGACGAGCAGACTGACCATGATGCGGGAATGAGAAGAGAGCGAAACCAATCCAATTCTTCATCTTCATCTACGTCTCTCTCTGGAACATCCCGAGGATGAAACATTGACAAAAAAGAACCCGCAACGCGTTATCGGGAGTTGTTCCCATGATACTGAGAATCAGATTCACAGCGAAGGGGGGTATTGGACGTGCTGGATCAAGATGGGGCTCGCTTTTACATCAACATCATGATTATGATTTAGAGAAGCACTTGGACTTTGTTGATTGGTCGAAGGAGGCCGCTTTGGCTTTGGGTTCTCCTTTCTCCAAGGATCCCGAGGGTGAGAGGCAGCCTCGTGAAGCGGGTGATACGGCACAGGAAGAAGCATCATGCCTAAATTAGCGATATTAAGCTGCAAGCGGTAGCAGAAAGCCAAAATTACTCACAGGACGCGAGCGATTCAACCTACTGGAACAAGCATACTGTATCGCTGCGAAATGAAGGGATTTTTTGATGGCTCGTAGAAAGAAGGAAGGGATCTAATATGACAGGCCGTTTTATCGGATCGCAGAGGTCTGTGTGCCTAGGGAAGCGCGTCGAGCTATGAATACTCCCGTCAATGGGCGCAGTGGTTCACAACACGGATAGAAAGGCTCACAGTTTTTCTCCTCAAATTCATTATTCTGCAAGCTGTCAAATCGATTCGTCATCGTCAGGCCGCTGAAGACAAGCTGAAGAATCCCTGTGACGAAGCAATGATTCCAGAAAAGATGCCTGGAACGATATTCCGGAATCAACGGTTAATTATATCCACGTATTGCGGCCTATATTTAGGATGTTGATTCCAAGAGACTGAAGGCTTTGGTATGAGGTTGGGACGATGAGGCGGAATGTGTCACGTATAAACCTCGGGCTTCGGCTAATTCAGATGCCGAGGTAGCTCGGGCCGATGCGGACCGCTGCCTCATATTCACGACTCTCTGCAGTACACTCGCAGGCGGTCCATCTCAGGCTCGTTACCGGACACCACCCATCCAGAACCCTTCAAAAACGACCTCCGTTGTTCCAAAGAGAGTTCTTGACTATTCAAGAAATTCATGCGCTCAGAGTCTCTTCGTTAGAACCACCTCAACGAAAACTTGGATACGCACTAGCAGATCAGCGAGATACGCGTCCTCAATAACCAGGTCTACTGGCTTGAGTATGAATCCTCCTCGGGATTCGGATTGCCAGTGTCAGTGGATCAACGCATCCTTGTTCCCTCCACGACAAATAATTATGGTTCTGTCTTTCTTCAACACGACTATATAGGCTTTCCACCGAAGTGGCGCACTCTAAGCTGATTGAATATTTGATGATATCTGAGCAGCAATGAGACTTCGTGATCACCTCCCAAAAAAGGATCCGGTGTCTGCAATAATTTCCTTCCAGATTTCAACGAGATTGTTTGACAGTCACAATCTCTCTTCAATCACCTCTTATCAGCCGTCGATATTCCTCAGATGGTGTCTCAAACTCAAAAATAGCCCACCTTCAGCGTTGCGCAGTCGGGTCTTGTCCTCGTCGCGTCCCAAGTCGGAGGGATGCAGCGATAGGAAAGCTTCTAGTACTTGCATCGAAAGACGATCAAGGGTCTTCTAGGCTGTAACGGACAGATTCAATATCATGGCTTCTCAAGAATCTCCCACTCATTGCTGTCACGGTTGGGTCGGTCTGCAAGCCGCTCAACCAGAGTCTCACATAACGGGCGACGATGTATTGAAGCAAATAATCAAATTTGAGTTCAATGGTGATAAGATAACTAGTCACCGCGCAGCAACCTTGTTCGTCCCTGAACATGTGCAAACAGAATGGACGATAACTATGCCTTAGAGGCCCGACGTCCCGAGGCCTTTTTCTTTTCCTTGAAATATTCGGGTCAAATATCAGAAATGTGAGATCTGAAGCACATACCTCCTGAGTAGGCTGCTTCTGTTGTTGTTCATGACCTTTCTGGTGGGCGTCGCGCTGGATCCAGGTATGGATTTTAGCTTGATAATGACAGAGGAAGGCAAGTACGAACCCGGGATCTCTGGTCCCACGACTTAGTGCAGTACTTACACTTGAAATAATCTCTCCGTGCCAAGTTGACTGTCGAGTCATCAACGGAGGATGCACGAGCTTCGAGTGAAAGGTCCTCGAAGCGGGCCTCAAGGGCAAAGTTGTCGGCCTCTGCGCGAACCTAAAAGAATGTCAGCACGGACTTCCTCGACTGGCCTGGCAACCTACCACAAGTGACTCGGTTTCGGTCACGGAAATGGGGAAAGCAGAAGCAAATGTCGCCAGGGACACTGCGCAAGAAACGATGGCTGAGAGAAGCATGATGGTAAGTTATGAATATCGTTGAGTGAAGAGGCCGGCTCTGAACTGGGGAAAGGCTTGATTTGGCAGGGTTTTTATACTAGGTGTTTCTGGTGTTTCAGATTTTTTTTTTCAATCAGTTGCTACATATCAGCTGTTGCCAAAAATCGTGTGGAAACCAAGGGAAATCAGCGCCCGGGATTGTTGGCCGACGTCGGCCGCCGATCTATGTTGATCCCGCAGATATAACAATGCTGGAAAATATCTACAGCGACCATCCATTCAACGCTGCTATTACAGAGTCTCACAGTTTGGCAGTACGGGATGATTTTCAGCGATGACTGACAGACCTTGACAACAGGTTGGAACACTCCTATCAAACCGCGTTAATGGTTGCCATCAAACTTTCCGGCCGCCATGTTCAAGAAAATCCAGATTGGCCGCTCCTTCCACTGACTCCTGGATTTTCTTAGACGTGTTCCAAATCGTCTAAGGAGTCAAAATAAACCACGGACCCAAAGCGGTCTTGTCAACGAACTCAATGCTACCCAATGCCTTGAATTGTCGCTGGTCAGACTTCAGTTTCAAGTCCATCAAGGATCGATCACCTCAGGCCGGTTCTTGGCGGGCCTATGCAGGACCCTTGACAATATGCTAAAAGGCCTGATCCGTTTTCCCAT